CGGGGTGGGGGTGGGGTGGGGGACGGGCGGGGCGGGGGAGCTGGGAGTACTCGGTTTTGGATACGACCTTTGCTCTCTGGGGCCCACTGTGGGACACCTGAATTCCAGACTTTTCAGCCTGGAGATGTGGTTCTCTGGGCCTGGTAGGAGGCCTGCTCCGCTGCGGGGTCAGGGTCCCACGGGGCCAGGGATCCCAGACCCTGGCCCAGACTTGAGTGGGTGTAGCTGATGGGGGCTCGCCCCTGGCCGGTGGGGAGGGCCCTCTTCCCTGTGACAGTCGCTCTCTCCCCGCAGGATGGCCGAGCCTCGATTTAACAACCCCTACTTCTGGCCCCCTCCTCCAACCATGCCCAGCCAGGTAAGACGGAGCGTCGCCCCTCCCGCCACCCTCCCCCTCTCGGAGCTGCTTTGATTTGCCCCGGGCTTTGGCTGCGGCCTGCGGGGTGAGGGGTTCGCGGGTGGCCCGGCGGCCCAAGTCCCCTCACTACCTCTCCTCTCCCGCCCGCAGCTGGACAACCTGGTCCTGATTAACAAGATCAAGGAGCAGCTGATGGCGGAGAAGATCCGGCCGCCTCACCTGCCGCCCACGTCGGCCTCGTCGCAGCAGCCGCTCCTCGTGCCGCCGGCGCCTGCCGACAGCAGCCAGGCCGTCATGTCGCTGCCCAAGCTGCAGCAGGTGCCGGGGCTGCACCCGCAGGCCGTGCCGCAGCCTGACGTGGCGCTGCACGCGCGGCCGGCCACCAGCACGGTCACAGGTACCGCGGGGCCGGGTCGGGGGTGCTGGTGAGGGCTGGGCGGAGACTACCTGGGAGGGGTGTGGCCAGTATACCCTGCGGCGGGGCGGGGCGGGGCGGGCCGGCAGGGCCTGGGGCGGGGGTGGAGCTTCCAGACTTCCTTCCATCCTGTACCCTGACGTAGCGCCCAGCTAAGCCACCTGGATGGGACGAGGTTGGGTCACTCCCCGTCGGGGGATCACCAAGGAAGCCAAATCCACGTAGCTATTTCAGGAATCCAGAGGAGAGCGCTAACCAGACTTGGGGGGTGAGGGGTGAGGGAAGACTTCCTTGGAGGAGTCTCTATGCAAGGAAGGGTTGGTGGTTGACTAGGGAAATGGAGCAGCAGGAGGAAATAATATGTGCAGAGCAAGTAGAAAGCAAGAGTAGGACAGTGTCCGGGTAGGGAAGATCAAAAGATGATGATAACAATCATAATATGGCAGTTAACTCCAGGTGAGCACCTGTATATGTTCACCAGTATTCATGTTATTACTCCCAGCCGTTCTGTGAGGTGGCTACTGTTAGGTTGACTTGAAGAAACAGTTGCATGTGGTTCATCCTAACGTTTCCATTGAACAGATGAGCAAACTGAGGCCCAGTTTCACAGCCAGTAAGAGGCAGAGGCAGGCAGTGTGGTTCCAGAGCCCATGTGTGAACCCTTTTGCTCTACCGGTTCTGCTGAGGCTGGAAAAGAAGCAGGCACCAGACTGGGAAGGGCCCAGGGGGGCCACCTGTGCAGCTTGGATTTCACCCTTGGGCAGTGGGAGCGTGGAAGGTTTTTAAGTAGGCAAGGGAAATGCTCAGACTTGGGTGAGAAAGCTGGGGCTGGCTATAAGGTGCAGACTGGCTCGGTGGCAGGGAGAGCTGCAGGAGAGGGTGGTGGCCTGGACAAGGCAGCTGCAGAGGGATGGAGAGAAGGGGACAGATGTGAGGTATGTTGAGGAAGGAGAGCGGACAGGGCTTGGTGCTGGGCTGGGTGTAGGGGTGAAGAGTGGGAGGGGGCAAGGGAGACTCCCAGTCACTGCCAGTGAGATGGAGTCGTAGGAGGCGGAGCGGGGTGGGGGAAAGATGTGAGCCCAGTCTTGGATAGATTGAAGCTGGGGGCTGGGGGGACATGTGTCACGAGGCTGGGTTGCCTGGTGCCCACCTCAGAGCCTGGTGGACAGGCTTTCCCCAGTGGCCACTGTATCTGGGCTGTTGTTCCTCCTCTGGCTGGCCCCGCCGCCAGCCAGATGACTGTGCCTCTCTCCCCCTCTCCCTCCTGCCTCTCGGATATGCCCAAGAGCCATGGGGCCCCGTGAGCCTCCCCCGCAGGCCGCAGCCACCCTCTGCACATTCCCTCCTTATTATGACCTTATTAAATTTATTTTTTCATTATAAAAGTAATATTAAAAAAGTAATATAAGCATATTAAGGGAAATTTGGAAAAAAGAGAAACTAAGAAAAAAGAAAATCACTCATAATCCCCAGCTCATAACCCAGCAGCTTAGAGAGCCTTTTAGTCTATTTCCTTCCTTTTCCATCTTTTTTGTTTTGTTTTTTAATATTCGGGCATGTTCTGATGAGCTTGTGGTAGGGCTGTATACATGACTTGAACTTTCTTTTCCTACTCACCATTCTATCGTAAACATATTTAGTGCATTTTTTATTATAAAGGTAACTCATAGTCATTATAGAAAATTTAGAAATTGCAGACAAGCTAAAAGGAGAAAAAAAATTAACCCTCGTCCTACTGTTGTTAGCATTTTCATATGTTTTCTCTATAATTTATTTTATTTTATCCTTTAATCACAGATGTAAAAAATGGATGAATTCACCAGGTAAAAAATTCAAATAATATGGAAGCAGATAAAGTATGAATATCTCCTTTTACCAACAAATTCTTCTCCCTCCCCACAGAGAACCACAATTTATACACAGTTTACTTTGGTGTGTCTCTTCTCTGATCTCTTCCTGTGCTTTCACACACACCTACATTATCTGTATATACATATGTAGTTTGGATGCGTGTTTTTTTAAATAGGTGGGTTCATACTGTGTGTGTGGTTTATTACTTTTTCACCTGGCAGCATGTTTTGGCATTCTCTCTATGTCACTGCACATCTATCTTGTTTTCATGGCTTCCCTGTTCTCCTTATTGAGGATGGACCACATCTCTTTACATAGTCCCTGCTGAGAATAGCAGGTTGTGTCCAGTTTTGTCTGATCACAGTTTTGTATGGAAGGTCCAAGTACGCAGATCTTTGTGCTCATATGCGAATAAATATCTATGGGTGATTTCTAGAATTAGAATTGCTTCATCAAAAGTTTTGTACATTTGAAATTTTAATAAACTAGTGCCAAACCACCCTCCATTAAGGTTGATAAACGTACACTCCCAGCATGTATGACACACACACAAAATACTGTTGCCAACTCTGGATATTATCTTTTTCAGTGCACAAATTTTGGGTTTCTTTTTTTAAAAAAGCATAGTTTTAATCATGTGATAGATATCATTTTCATCTTTTTGTGTACTTTACCTGATGTTGTAAATGTTTCTAGTCCCCTCGTTTTTAAAAGAACTTCTATTACAGAAATTTTAAAAAACGGAAAAAGTTCATTGTCAAAGAATCAGAAAGTACAGTTAAGCCAAAAAAAATTGTTTTAAAATTACTCCTAATTCTACCATCCACGTCACATTTTGGTGCATCTCCATCTCCTACTTAACTTTTTCTGTGGCTTAAAATTTTCCTTTTTTTACAAACATAATCTCCTTTTTAATGGGCAGTTAATGTTCAGTAGAGGAGATTGATCACAATTTATTAAGCCCTTCCCTAATATTGCATACTTCAGTTGTCTCTAATTTTCACTATTATAAATAACACAGTAGTGGACATCTTTGTGCCTCAGTTGTTTTGTTTGTTTGTTTGTTTGTTTTGTTGTTGGGATGGTTTCCAAAGTGCCCCCGTTACAGATAATAGGACTCAGTTTAGTCCTTAGGTATCGAAGGAATCTTACACATACACAGTTCTCATTTGTACCCCTGAGTAATAATTTACAAAGGGAAGGGGAGGCTCAGAAAGGCTGGTGACCTGCCAGAGTCACACAGCTGGGTGGTGGGGACTGAGCCGGCCTCTGCAGCTGCCCGCACCCCCGTGTCTTCGCAGGTCTGGGGCTCTCCTCCCGGACCCCGGCTGTGAGCACGTCTGAGTCGAGTGCGGGCACGGGTACCAGCACCCCATCCACACCGACCACCACCAGCCAGAGCCGCCTCATCGCCTCGTCCCCCACCCTCATCTCAGGGATCACCAGCCCCCCCCTCCTGGACTCCATCAAGACAATCCAGGGCCACGGCCTGCTTGGCCCCCCCAAGTCCGAGCGCGGCCGAAAAAAGATCAAAGCGGAGAATCCAGGGGGGCCGCCTGTCCTCGTAGTCCCCTACCCCATCCTGGCCTCGGGCGAGACTGCCAAGGAGGGCAAGACATACAGGTGGGGGTCTCGGTGAGAGGGCGTCCAGGTGGGCTTGGGTTAGAGGCCAGTGCCTCAGGCTGCAGCAGAGGCCCATCAGTGGGGCACTGCAAAAAGGGGCCCCAGAGGCGTAGGGTGAGGGCTACGGTCCAGAGGGGCGGGGTCTCCTGGCCCACCCCGCCCACAACCCTTCAGAGGCGGTCTCTGGGGCCGCCCTCACCACAGCCTGGGATGTCGAGAGAGTCTGTTTCCTACACTCTTCAAGCAGTGTTCTGAACGCTCAACGTTAGAATCATCTGGAGAGCTTTCCAGAAATGCCAGTGCCGGGGCGCACCCCAGCACCCCGATTTAACTTGCTGGGGGGAGACATGCGGAGGGCCCCAGGTCAGGCTTTCTTGAAAGCTCCCCAGACGATTCTAAAGTACAGCCAGGGTGGAGAACCTCTCACCAGGAGTGCTGGAGCCCCTCCGCCAGAACCATGAGTCAGTAG